GAAATCAGTTAAAACACTGCAATGGTGAATTTGACATAGATTTAATTAGATTAAGTGTTCTGCTGCCAAGAAAAATGGGGACCTGAGGTCAAAATTAGAATATTATACTTTTCAATCTAAAATTTCTATTTGATATTTTTCAGATCTATCTGGTCACTTTTCATAGTCTCTCGTTCCTTATATTTGATTTCTATTGTTGTCAAAACATAAAAATTTAGGGGCTTAAAACAGTAGTCATTATTATCTTAAAATTCTGTCGATTAGCAGACCTGTCCAAAACAAGTCTCATAGGCCTAAGATCAAGGCGTCTGCCAGGCTGTATTCCTTATTAGAGGCTCTTAAGGAGAATCTACTTCTAGGCTCTTCCCATGTGGTTGGCAGAATTCAGTTCCATGTACCTGTAGGACCGAGGCCTCTGTTTTCTTGTTGGATTTCAACCAGGGGTCATTCTCAGCTCCTAGAGGCTTTCTGCATTCCCTGGCTTATAACTCCTTTCATCTTCAAATCCACCAATAATGAGTCCAGTCCTTCTCATGCTTTAAATCTCTCTGATTTCCCATTGTCTCATTTTACCCACTTGACTCTTCTACCTTCCTCTTTTGCTTTATTTTTTTAAAAGTTTTTATTTATTTATTTGACAGAGAGAGACACAGCGAGAGAGGGAACACAAGCAGGGTGAGTGGGAGAGGGAGGAGCAGGCTTCCTGCGGAGTGGGGAGCCCGATGCGGGGCTCGATCCCAGGACCCTGGGATCATGACCTGAGCTGAAGGCAGACGCTTAATGACTGAGCCACCCAGCCCCCTCTTTTGCTTTTAAAGGCTCATATGATCACATTAGGACCACTTGGATAATCCAGGATAATCTGCATACTTTAAGGCTAGCTGATTAATAGTCTTAATTACATCTGCAAAACCCCTTCACAGCAGTACCTAGATTAGTGTTTCAATAATCGGGAGACAGAAATCTTAGGGAGACATTTATTACCACAATTATTATTATTATATTTCCAATACCCTCTTTTATATTTTCAAACATACTTCCTCATTTTATATTCTGTATTTGACAATTAAAGTATCTGTTGTCTTTGTACTTTGGATTGTCTCTTTTGTTTATGTGGCTTTTGAACAGTATATTTTATGTCTTGGCAGACTTTACACGTTTTGATTATAATCCCTCATGAAGCTTTAACTCTAGAAATTCTTCGAGCCCCCGGTTGAAGAAGGTGTTCCTTCTTTTGCCAGGTACTTAGGCATACTACCAACCCAGGATTATTTTAAAGTTTGAGATTAAGGTTTTTTTTCCCCACATAAACTGGTAGTGAGACTTTAAGCCCATAACCTGCACAGTTATGAATTCTCAAGGGAGATTTAACCCTTTTACCTGGTGCATAGACCAAAACATCAAGGTTCCCTTGATGCTTCCCTCTATAGGATGGGTTTTTTTTCCTAGCTCACATTTTCTCAGAGAATAGTCCTTTGAGATCCTCACTCTATGTAGTTTTCCACTCAACCCACAACTTGCTTGGGTCCTGGCTTTGTCTCCCATCCCTTGTTCCCTGTGTGCCTATTAAAAGAAAATTTTGAAATCTCTAGGGATTAGGAGTTGCCACTGTCAATCCTTGTTTAAGTGTCTGGATTCTTGCTGGTGCTCCATCATCTTTTTCTTTTGAGGACTTTGGTTATTTTCTTGCTGACACGGGAATGTATGTTATACAATATTTTTTATTAATTGGCTTTAAGATCTACCCCCTAAAACTGCCCCCAGTATCTATATTACCATACTATAAGTAAGAAAAGCCCCTCTATTTCTTTTTTAAATGCTGTGCCTTTTTCTTCCCAGGCAAATGAAGATCCCCGTGTTTGGAAAAACCCTTTAATTTCTGCTTTAGTTATATGCTGTTTTACTGTTTACTCTTGGGCTAGTCTGGTCTCGCTTCTATAACGAGGACCTGTGGTTTTGATATTTCCATTCCCAAAACTTACCTAGTAAATTTTTACTTTGACTAAAGAGCTTCATTTCTGAATAACATGGCTAATGGTGTCCTAGAGTAACAATTTTAACTTTTCCTTTTTAGATTATATTAGAGTACTAAAACTGACCCAGTTTGTTTGGGTTTATTCTTTCATTATTAGTACAACCCTCCCCCTCCTAAAAGTAAAAAACATTTAATTTGCTCAAGTCCACATAGCCAAGCAAAGGTAGTCATTCATTAACTAAATCAATAAAACTTTGAACAAAAGGATCACAAAGATCCTTACCAATATATTTAGCCATGGCAGAGATAGAATAATGTATCTAATAATACATCTTTGAAATATAATACTATGTAGTACACATGTCAAGAAACAGTTAAGGTTTTGTTTTATTGTTTTATCAGGATATTGTTTTATCAATTTTGGCTAATAGGGTTAATTAGTGCCATTGGCTAAAATTGTACTTCCCTACCTCCCAGGCTGAGAAAAGAGAACAAAGCCCTGGATACCAAGTAAGGTGGGAAGAGTACAGACATTTGAAAGGAAAGAAGTCTGAATTGTAGAGATGCTTACGTGTACAGAGGCAGTTGAGGGGAGTGAAGGATACACATATGCCAGTGGAGTCTTCTAAGAACTTGTATGAACAGACAGTAAATAGGCACTTAGTGAAATTGCTACTATTATCTAGACAAGATCCAATCCTAAGTAAGATCCTGGGATTTAAAGTGACAAAGATTTCTAGCTAACCTTTAAGGATCAGGATAATAACAAAAACACTGTCTACCATAGAGTGGGAGGACAGAGATTTGTTTGATCATCTGTTCAGATTCCCTTTTGGAAACTTTCAAAGACAGTATTCAACTTTCAAACTAAAATAGCTTGAGAACTTTGATGTAAATGGGACAAATGTGAAATGGATGAGTTAAGTCATTTTTGATATGTCAACTAAACAGAAAGATGTAGCAAGAGAATGATATGGCTCACTTAAACAAATTTTGACAAAGTATTATTTTTCCTGTACTCAGGGGCAGCCGTTGGAAGTAATCATTAAAATGATTCAGGTTGAAATGTTTATATTATTTCTTGAGAGCAAAACTTACTCATTCTAACTTGAAAAGTCATTTCATTTTCATAATTAAAATGTATTCATCACATAATATAATTCAGCACTGATAAATTGAATGACTAGAAAAAAGCCAAAAAGAAATACTATTGATCATAAGAAAATGTGTAACATATGATAGGGAAAGAAACAAGTGAATAGAGGGAACTTAGAAGATATACATACAGCAGAAATATATTTTAAGGCTTAAATGGACAAATTTTTTAAAAATGATAAATTTTGCATTGATGAATAAATAATGGACAATCTATCATACATAATTTTTTAAGGAAATGTCTTCCTTTTTAAAAATACTTTTTACTATATTTAATTTTTAAGAACAACTTTATAAATACTATCATTTGCAAAAAACCCAAACCAGGTCTGATGACTTCTATGAAGATTAAAAATACCAAAGGTATTTTCTTAACCTGTCTTCCTTTTTATTTTTAGCATGAGAATTGTTATGTTTTAACTCATCCATCTTTTCCTTACTGCACATTATTTTGTTTTTGATTGTCATTTTTTCTCCCTGTAGTCGGATTTTGGAATGTCAATAGACCTTATTCCTCTTCACATCCTTAGTGTTCAGAGATTATTCTCTTTCAACTTTCGTTCATTCAGATCTCTTTCTTTTCTTTCCTTTTTGTTTTTGTTTGCCCATGAATAATTTATTTTCTCTTTTGTAAATTTGTCAGTAGTTTCAATTTTTTATTCTTATTTTCCATCTGATATTTCACCTCAGTGTTGATAATAATGGAGTTATGTGACTTTTTTCTGTCTTTATATATAGTGATAATTCATTTAAATTTCTCAATCTTCTCTTTTTACATATGACCTATGTATTTCTATTTTTTAATTTTTTAAAATCTTTTTTATTTTTTGAGAGAGAGAGAGAGAGCAGGGGGAGGGGTAAAGAAAGAGGGAGAGAGAGAATCTTAAGCAAGCTCCAGGCCCAGCATGGAGCCTGACGTGGGGCTTGATCTCACATCTCTGAGGCCATGACCTGAGCCGAAATCAAGAGTCAGATGCTTAACTGACTGAGCCACCCAGATGCCCCTGACTTTATGTATTTCTGAAGATAAACAAGAAAAATTGCTTTACATTTACATAAATGTGTTAATAGTTTTATAGTGTTTAGCTTTCTTTTATAACTATACTGTGCTAAGAGTGCAAATCATAGCAAGCATTATTCATAGCTCTACAAAATGCATTTCCTAGTGCACTGAGATATTAAAGATATGAATTATATTAATCTAACCATAGGGTCGAGTAGAAATTAATCCTTATCCATGAGTTTTCTGTTATTTAGTGGATTCAACTATAATTTTGAAACTACTAATTCAATTTCAATTTTCATACCATATATATACATCAAGAATAATCTGGTGCTTTTTAAATGAGAGAATGCACATTTCATTTAGATTAAACCTTTCTTCTGTACCACCAGCTGGCCACAGTTTTGGTTTTTCAACAAATTCCCTTCAACAACACTACAGAAAGGATTTATCCAAGTACCTAATTAACTGGTATATTTTATTTCTTACTCTGTGGGAAGTTTCTGAAATAATAAATTGATGTTTGAAATGCTACACCAAACCCAAACTGTAAAATGAAGCAAATCACCTAATCTCTTTGAAGGTCATGTTATAAATTACTCTTATGTTGAAGCAGGATGCATACAGTTCATGAGCAAAATCTCAGCTGTGGGTTTCTTGATAAAGGCACGTAGATGTTCTTTGGTTGCATCTCAAAAGGAATTGTGAACTCTGGGTTATGACAGCAGGTTTTGGATGTTTACTAGAACCACAGTAGTGAGATCAGGACTAATTTAAATGTGTCATCAATTTTCCAATGCCAAATCTGCGATGAATTCTCAATGGTTCTCAAAACTCACCACAGGATAGTCATAACATTCATGCTTGTCATGGCATGGTCTCATTACTAATTGGAGGAGCCCAAGAAGGGTAAGCAGAGAGGTCAAACATAGCCCCAATCCACGTGGACATGCCCAGCATCACCACAGCAACACCCACAATATTAACGCCAAGTCCAGCTTTAACCTTGAATAGGAAAGAGCATAAATGTCAGTTTTTTGAAGAGAAAACCTATAGCAGAATCAGAATACTATAGCAGAAAGTATATGTCAGATTTACATGCATCATAAATGATTAGTATAAACTGTTGTCATTTCATAAAACAGTGAGTTCTTCCATGCATGTCAAAAGAGAATCTGTCCCCAACTAAATGAGATTTAGTTGGAGATTCTATGAGGTTCCTCTTCTGATTAAAAAAAAATCCTTTTAAAAATTTGCCATTTCATGTTAAATCAGAATATGAGTTTTGAGGTCTTATATTTCAGTGGATAAGGTTCAGGTCACTATATGATAACTGGATCCTTCATATTCACTCAATACCATTATTAGCTTAGCCTTCAGTATTGTCTTATTGAGATTTAATAAAATGCCACTTCTATTCATCTTCCTTAGAGTTCTCATTTTTCTGGCTCTTATATCATCATCCTGGTATCCACTAAAAATTTCAAAGTTGCTTTCTATCCATTAAAACAGAGGTTGGCAAACTACTGTTCATGACCTGTTTTGGTAAATTAAGTTTTATGCGACCACACCCACAGTGGTTCCATATTGGTGTTGGCTGCATTCATGATACAATGACAGAACTGAGTAGTTGTGATAGAGAGCATATGGCCCAGTGTCAAATATTTACTATCTCTTTACAGAGAAAGCTTGCTTATCTCTGAGTTCTCTGCATTAAAACATGGAGCCCCAAAGGAAAAGGGGATACCTAGCAATGATTATTACAGAGGCCCATTTACTATTCATGCAAGCCACTCATTTATTCTAGAATCCTGTTTTTTATTTTTTTTAATTCACATACACTGGACAATGGTTATATTATATTTTGCACATTTTCTTTTCCAAAAGGATATTATGTGCCTTCTGCATAGAGACCTTTCCAGAGTTTTTACATTGCAGGGTGGTAGGGACAGCACTATGTGTGGAAGGAGGGAACTGGGACTTACTTTGGAACTACATTTGCAGAGTAAGCTCACTGAATTTACTTTTGTTATATTCTTGTTTGGTTTGGACGTTGGTAATCAAGACTGAGGGAAGACTAGAGTATTCTCAAGCTAGTCCTTGACTACCACTCTTTCATTTTTCTAGGACATTACTGATGCATTCAGTATTTCTGTATTTGTGACTGTAAATTCTAATGGCAAGTTTGTTTCTGGTTATCATTCTTAAAAATAATTCTGTAACCAATCATGTACTCACCTTCAGAAGCAGAACTCAAGCCATGCTTTTCCTGGCAGCTGATTAGTGTGTAAAAGGAGTGATAACCCAAGACATCACACACAAAAATGTCTATTGGATCTGATTGCTTTCTTTCAGCTCACTCACCATGTCAATAACTTTTAGATGGCCATACGAAAAAACAATAGCATTGGGCGGATTTGCTACTGGTAGGAGGAATGCAAATGAAGTACACAGAGTAGAAGGTATCAAAATATAAAGAGGGTTCACTTGAATGGCTTCAGCCTGTTGGAAAAGATAAAAAGGAGTCTATGTAAAATTTTAAGGTAGGCACCAAGGATCAAAATGAACAAAATCACTATGATAAGCTTTCCCAGAAGCAGGTAAAAATCTAAATATAATATTATACACATAAATGCAGTTATAACTTAAAGAGTATTTTTCAGAAATCTCTCTTCTTGTTTTTTATATGGTTATTGGTGCTCATTTAAGTATTACAGCTCAGCTCATTTAGAAAATAAAGTATCATTTATTCCAGGAACTAAATAAAAACAGAAACAATTTATTATTTATCTAGCGCTAAGTGTTCTGTGTGTGTGCATTTATGTAAAATAACTGAATTTTCCCAATGACCCATGAGATGGCTACTATAGCCCCAAATAACAGAAGAAGAAACTAAGGCCCAGAAAGGCTAAAGTAACTTGTCCAAAACAAAGCTGGCAAGCAGGAGAGCTTATGAAGGGTCGTGGGTTCCTCTGGCTCCAAAGCTTCTCATTATTCCATTAACTTTACTGCCTTTGTGCCATATATAATTTAAAATTTGCTGAGGGGGGCGCCTGGGTGGCTGAGTCAGTTAAGCATCTTCCTTCAGCTTAGGTCGTGATCCCAAGGTCCTGGGATGGAGCCCCGCGTTGGGCTCCCTGCTCCGCGGGAAGCCTGCTTCTCCCTCTCCCTCTGCCGCGACCCCTGCTTGTGTTCCCTCTCTCTCTGTGTCTCCCTCTGTCAGATAAATAAATAAAATCTTTAAAAATAAATAAATAAAATAAAATTTGCTTAGGGATCATCACAGAAGAGTTACTACTATTCTTAATTCATCACATAATTTTCTAACTGTGCCATGTTGAGAAGTGAAAAACAGAAAAACCAAAACGATATTTTACCAATATAAACTGCCTACATTTCTTCTCTAACTTGAAGCAGCAGCCTAAGAATGCCAACATATGCCCCTTGAGCTGGTAGAGGAACAATTCCAGAAGGGCAGTCCTTCTTAATTTAATGTGCTACCCTCTCACCACACTGAGCTGTCCCAATAAGAAAAACATTTTACTTAAAGCTTTTCTTGTAATTGCTAGCTACGTGGGGAGGAAAAAGGAAGATTGTCTTTTCCTCTCTCTCCTTGCAAATCTGTTTTTTTACTTATCTTTTAAAATTATTCCCTGGGCCATAGAGAACTGTGTCTAAGATATTTAAGCTTAAAGCCTGAAGTGTAAGCCTAGCTTTTCATTCACTTGCAAATCACTTATATGAACCACTTCTCAGAAATTGAGGAATAATCTGGAGGGAGAAGTGTCAGTGTTAGAGATCTAAATACTAACGTTGCCAGCAAACATGGACTCTCAAAGTCTTACAGCTAGAAAGGATCTAGGCCGACCCTCCCACTAATCTGCAAATGAAAATCTGGGCAGGGAGAAGAAGGTAAGTGCTTCTCTTAAGATCCTGCTGCTTGAATGTGGAAGAAAAGAGTTCTCTTGAGTTGAGGTCTCCTAAGAATTTATTAATGCAAATAAAGACCACTCTGTAAGTTACTTACAGGAAGATCATTCGTGTCAAAAATGATTCTATACCACAATATGAGAACAAGCAAAGTAGAACACTACTCTTTTGATGAGTATAACAGCAGCTGAATGAGATACTCACCAGTGGAGATAATATAGGGAGAAGGAGGGTAATGGTAGCTGGATTGCTGGCTACCTCTGTTAAAGATGTGACAAGCAAAGAAGATATCAGAATGATTAGCCATACTGGTAATGAACCTAGAGGAGATAATTTATTTCCTATCCACTTAGATAGTCCTGACTCCTAAAAAAAAAAAAAAAATTGCAATGTTATTCATTAACAATTCATTTTAATCAGACACAATTTAAATGTATAAAATGTATCACTTGCTCTAAGAACTCAGTTTCTGAAACATAAGTTTAATCTTTCATATTTTTCCATGGTTTGGAAGATCTAGGTGGCTTTGACATGGAGGAACTCTCAATTATTCTTATTTTAACACTATTGGCATGCTTTAGGAAATTTGAATTATCTTCTCACATTTTTTCAATTAAATTTTAATTTTATCTAATTAATATATGTGGATATTTTAGGGACGCCTGGGTGGCTCAGTCAGTTAAGCGGCTGCCTTCAGCTCAGGTCATGATCCCAGGGCCCTGGGATCGAGTCCCACATTGGGCTCCTTGCTCAGCAGGGAGCCTGCTTCTCCCTCTGCCTGCAGCTCCCTCTACTTGTACTCTCACTCACTCTCTCTCGCCCATGCTCTCTAATAAATAAATAAATAAATAAATAAATAAATAAATAAATCTTTTAAAAAATAATACATGTGGCTATTTTAACAAGTCATGAGGGACTACAGGGCTTTAGGAAAATGGCAGCCCTCTGGTCTACCTCTCTCCTCTCCTAAGTTGTGTTCCTCAGAGACAATTTTCAACCCATATTAGCTATTTATAGCTACTTTTTAAATTATGCTTTTTCCTAATTTTCAAATTTAGACATTATTTACTGGCTTTCTAATATGTTACATAAGGATTTAGCTTTCTTACACCATGCACCATATATATATTTCCTGTCCCTCTATTTCTTTTACTCATATATCAACATTTTTTATTAAATCAATGTTTAAAGTTTGTCATTATGAGTACATAAATATTACTCATACCTCAGTCACTTAGTGCACTGTGATTATGTTAAAACAATGTTAACGGGCATTTAAGAGACAGGGAACTACAAAAAAGGTGAATGCTTTAGGAGCTGGCTGCTATCTCACGGCTCCCACCCAGAAGGGTTATCTAGTTCTGGCCATTTGCCAAACTAATTACAGTTTGGAACAAAATTTTAAAAGAGTAAATGTCTTCAAAATCTTTGTAAAATCAGTTTCTAAGGGCATATTTGTCCATAGCCGTATTTTTGAAGCTCATGGCTTCAGTATACCCACTCAGGGGTAGGGTTATTCTAGATGTCCCATAGAAATTTGATTCTATATACTAAGAATTTCATAGATCTCCCTCCATGGTTTCCCTAATTCTGCCAGTGAGAGAGCCTAGTGTATCAGAGGAAGTCTGTGCCTTTTCATTTTCTTAGATTTTGCAATTCTAGGGTCTGGGTAATGCTTTTAAAATTCCTTTGAGTATCTAGGGTCCAATTCAGACAGATATTCTGGGAAGCAGAGATGAATAGAATTCATATCAATGTCAGAATTGCTGATTCTGATTCCCTCATAATTCAAATTATCAGTCAAAAGAATGGAAGTTATTGATTCTCAGAAACCAGATCTCATTCTTGCTGAAACAGTAGAAAAGTGTATTTGCTTTATATTTCTATCATTTTAATTTGAGTGGTCTATGAGGCAAGCCAAATCTAGATGTAAAACAACATTGTAAGTGCCACTCAGAATTGAGACAATTTCTAGGATTTTCATCCATTACTAAATCATATTGCTGAGAGCTCAGTGTCCAAATACCATACAGAAAAAATGACAATGAAGTCAGAAGCAAAAAAGTCTCCCTATAGGCTATTAAGAAGATAGCAGATAGTCATTTGTCTTGAGGAGAATAAAAATTTAACTTTCCAGAAACTAAAAGGCTGGACACAACATATCTCTCTCACCATCCTTTCTACTTTGATGACTGAATAAGGAAATGGAACAGCTGTGAGCTTTGTGTTTCACAGAAGGCTATGAAATCCAGAAATGAGAGTTTTTGGGTTTTTTTTGGTTAGATTTTATTTATTTATTTGACAGAGAGAGAGACAGAGCGACAGCAGGAACACAAGCAGGGGGAGTGGGAGAGGGAGAAGCAGGCTTCCTGCTGAGCAGGGAGGCCGATGCAGGGCTCGATCCCAGGACCCTGGGATCATGACCTGAGCCGAAGGCAGATGCCTAATGACGGAACCACCCAGGCGCCCCCAGAAGTGAGAGGTTTTTAATGAGTCAAAGAGTAAAAAATTTTCATGGACTTTTTGAGAAGATACTTTTCTTTTAGGAGTCCTACAATGACTTTCAAGTAACAAAGGCCTCCCCAAACTTGTACTTTATATAAACTGGATAGATGATAGGCCAAAGAAATAGCAACTTTATTCCTCATGGTGGCTTTATTTCTCCCTAAAATTGGACATAATACAATATTAGCCATGGTTATGTAAAATTCTCTCTGGACTTCATTCAATAAACATGTACAAAGTACCTTTAATGTACTTGATAGGTAATAAATAATGTAATAAATAAATGATGTAATAAAGTACTATTATTTCTCATTCTCCTTCTTTGACAGCCTTAGGACTATGATATATTGAAGGGAAGTCTGTGAGCTACTCAAATTCATCATGAAATAAGGTAAAATTATAAACAAAATGTTTTGGTGGGAGTCATTGTACATGATTTTATTTTTTTTCTTACTAGCTAATTTTCTAATACTATTTTATGGATTAAGAATTCTAATCTTTGAGGCACCTGGGTGGCTCAGTCAGTTAAGGGTCCGACTCTTTATCTCAGCTCAGGTCATGATCTCAGGGTCAGGCTCTGCACTCAGCAATGGAGTCTGCTTGAGAATCTCTCTCTCTCTCCCTCACTGCTCCTCCCTGTCCACCCGTCCTTGCTTTCTTTCTCTCTTAAAAAAAAAAAAATGTGAGAGAATTCTAATCTTCTTTGCTTTATTCCTTTTGACATATTAGGACATCATAAAAAAATGATGTTTTATACCTGCAGCCTGTAAAAATTATTAAACCCACTTCATCCGTGTGGTATACTTACTGCATGGCTATTGAATTCTGCATCATTAAATGATAGAATAAAGTTGAATATGCCAAAGCTTGAATATCTCCTGTTCTTCTTTTGAAAAGTCTAGTTAATTGTTAAATATCTTAGGCACAGAGTATTACCTCACAGCCATCTGCCAAGGCAAACCCTCCACCAACAAGAATGGCTATATCCCAGGGCATGAATGACTGGAATTCTTTCCAAGTAATCAGTGGAGAATAATCAAAAGCAACTGCAAAAACACAAGTCCTATAGTTACACATTGCTTAACATATGACAATATGACATTTTTTTCTATTATCCTAAATCACCATCTCACAAGAAGTTTTTAATATTCCTATATTGTTTTTAGATAGGGAACTTGATTTGGACTTTGAGTAATTTCTACCTGGCTGAGGTGGAACACCACATTACAAAAAATTTTTTAAAAATGCCATAACTTGGAAAAATCCATTGGATCATATTACAGAGTAAATTTAGATAGATTATAACATTGTCATTTATAATGCCATTCATTCATTCCTCCATTCATTCATTCACTCATTCAACTAACATCTTTGTCTACTATGAGCAACACAGTGCATTGGACTGTACTCTTCTCTGCTGTGCAAAATGTCTGTAATATGCTATTGGTTCTAATATCATCAGTGTAATATAACTTTATTCACTAATATTTACTTGAGTATTGTTTTTTCAAATCATGAGGAGGGTCATAATAGATTCATCAGGATTTCAGTTTAAATTCAAATTCCAGATTAAATAATTTAAGTATCATTCGTAAGACTCTTAAAATTCTTATGAAGCAATTATCATAAAGATTTCTCTTGATATTTGGGTCATAATGGCTCATTTGATTTATTGAGAAAAAAAGTCATCCATGAATATATTATTCCCATTTAACATTTGTGTGTAACAAGCAGCCTTCTACATGGTAAGATTTTAGGGTTACTATTAAGACTCCTTCCTATTTCCTTCCCCCAAACCTAAACCAAACCTACCATCACCACTGATGGAAATTTTGCTATTTCTTACTTGAATTAAAGCATATATCCTGTAAAGATGCAAACATCTCTGAAATGTACCTCTCACATAAAATTTAACATAAGATGTCTTATTTGTCATTTTTAAACCTAGTGTGAATGAGTTTATCAGGGAGAACAGGAGTTGAAGAATGAGAAGAGAGAGAATGGTGGGTAGGGTATGGGGTCCAATTGCAGGCTGCCCCAAGGTGGGCCACTTTGGCATGAACATTATTTTGAGTTAAAAGCAATCAAAATGCAGCAGATTCAGAAAAAGCTCTTCTCCTCCCCTCAACTACCTGCTTGTACCAGGAAGAGAGACAGATTAATAAAGATTCCTCTTTACCTAAGAGACTTATCTGCATAATTAGGCACCCTTTGTTTTCCAAACATCTCCTTTTACCTTTCTGCTAATGGTCTTTCTCCTCTTTGTATCCTCAGACCCTTACCCCTCTTCTTAGCTCATATAAGTGTCATGTTACTGTCTTTGGAACTTCCTTGTCTGTGTGGATTCCCTGTATATACACTATTAAATTTGACCTTCTACCATTAATCTGTCTCATGTCAACTTGATTCTCAGTCCAGCAAGAAGGATCTTGAAGGGCAAAGAAAATTCTTTCTCCCCAACAGAAACAAGGCTCTTCCTGAGAGGGGGATTCAGATGTGGGACCAGGGAAGTTAAGCCAAGCATTGGTTCTTCAACATTTGCCACTGACAGGCCTTAAGACTTTGACTGCAATGGTCAGTGTCCTCAGGGTCTCATAGAAATTATTACCCTGTACTTTAATATCTCCTTATAACACACTTTGAGATGTTCTAGTTTCAAGTAATGAACAAAAAGGCACTTATATCAATGCTATGCTATTTACATATATCATGTCCTAGACATCTGACTCATTAGTCATTTATCAATTTGAACTCATGGAGTCAGGTGGGCCAACCCAGTTGCATGAATCCCTGTTCCATCCAGTAAAAAAAGAAGGAAAAGAGAGAAATAAAAGAAAACCCAACAATAAAAACCCCCACAACTCTACTAGACTATTTCCAAACAATTTTAAACTATTTGTCCCACAATAACAACATAGGAATCTGACTACCCAAAACATGCTGCATTAGTATAAAACACAGATATGGATGAATCCTATGTTTTAAAAGTATGTGTGTGTTAGGAGAAGGAGGGTATGTTCACATAAACATACTTTTTTGTCCATGTATTATAAAGACAATGAATGCTCCCACTGAATACCTCATCTTTCATTTGCGACACTAGGTTCTGGCTAAGTGTGGGCTTGATTTGCATTCTCTCCAGGATTACTATGAGGCTGTAAATGCCCTTTCCCTTGAAACTCCTCACCTTTTTAGATCCTCAGCATTTATTACCAAGGGCTCATCATGAAGTGTGACTTCCAAGTTCTTGTTCCTATGTTTGCCAATAATAAGATTAATCCTGATTATGGCAGGGGAAGTGGGTTTATTGTGGACCATATATAGTGTCGCTCGAAGTGGAATCCTAACTATGGTGCATAAGGAAATCTACTTCTTACTTCTGCCAAGTAAGATGATCCTTCTTGTAGGGGGAGGACATGTGCTGGTTGAATAAGGATTGTGGTGTGCACACAGGGCATGCTAAGCCAGGGGCTGTGTGAGCATGTCCATTCCTTCTAAGTGCTAACTGAAACCAGTGGAATTTTGTAATTTTTGCTCTTCTGTCAAATTCATTCAGAATTATAAATAATACTCAACCAATTTCTCCTGTAGGTGTAGTTTTAGTCAATCTCTTAGCTGGGGTAAGAAAGAATAGGATTCCTATAAGTATGGCAACAGTTGAATCTGTAGCAAAACCAGGATACCTGAAAAAGGACAGATGTGTACATTAAAAAATGGCATTAAGAATTTGTACGAACTGAACAGAAATTGACTATGCTATCGGCATACAAGTAGTAGTGATGGTACAGATTAATTTTTCTGGATAATCTGGTCTAAAATCCATGGATTTCCAACCAAATTTCCAACCAAGCCAAAAATTTCAGACCATGTGCCCATTGTTTTCATATATGTCTCCTTATTTTCAAAACCATGAATACACGTACTGACATACTAGCCCAACATGGCAAATTCCTTTTTAGGTAAAGCTTAAGGATTTGGTAAACAATTTTTTCTTTGAATTATTTCCTTTAATTATACTGGCAGAGAATTGAGGCAAGAACAATTGCTAGACTAGACAAAGCCCTGTATAATTGTTGTATAACATCTTACTATTGGATTGTGGCAAGGAAAGGGTGTTTCTGGCATCCTCTAAAACTCTTCTGTAAATTATGAAAAGAAATTGATCTGTTTTTCTAAGATTTAACATCTGCTACTGTGATTATAGGCCCTGACCATATCATATAAACGAAATCAACCCATTTAATGCTATACACCCTATGAAACTCAATCAAGAATATTAATTATTAGAATGGTTTATGAGATGCTCATAAATGATCACTGTACAAATTAAGAGTGATTCAGGAACAGATGCGGTCTTAGAATCACCATGCCATTTCAGCAAGTAAGATAGGCTCCCAGAAGCCTCAACAGTTAAGAAGCACCTGGAAACCAGATATGAATGAAACAGACATAAATTATTAGAACTCAGTTTTAAGATTCAGCAATATTAACTAGTGAATCTTTGTAGTCTGAGAAGACATATGTACACCCTAGAATTATTTTGCTCCCTTGTAACTAAGTAATGTGTACATACTATAGAAGCTCTCTATTTCTGTGATTTACTCGAGCAGTCTAAATAATCAAGAAAATGCATTATTTTATTCACTCTGACAACTTTATAAAGAAGTCTGTTTTCCTTAAATATAGATTTTATTTATTTCTTTGCTGAGTAAAAAGCTATCCTGGTGTAATTTATTCAACAAACTTAACCAATATTTATTATTTAATTGTTCCTTATTGCTCTTATTTGAGTTGTAATTTTTTATGGTATTTTTGCCAAATTAGGTTAGGGATCATGTAATCTGATTTTGTTTTATGAAAAGACACATTGAATTCAGTCCAGGTTCAACAGATGGAATGAATACATGGTGGTCACTATAAATCTTGATATATCATTCTAGCTTTGGAAATTCCAAATGCTTAAAATCTCTATATTACACATATATTCTACAGAATATACTTTAAATAAAATCAAGCCATAAATACTGAAGTAATTTTGTTCCAAAGACTTTTAAAACTGTAATTATTTTATTATTAGTTTATTTTCATTTTATTTTCAGTTTATTATGAACAAAGATTGTCTCACTATTACAAAATATTAAGCTTACACAAATTTTATTTGCTTTGGCAACTTATGAATCAAAGTTGATCAGATTTGTATCCTCACATCCCTTCTTCTCTCAAACCTTTGTTCCTGTTCCCATGGTTTTCTCTCAGAATTCTAGGTAACATGAGCACCTGCCTATATCAAATACACTCTGTTCTGCTGCGAAAAAAATATCTCCTGTATTACACTTTCTTTCTGTAAGGAACAGAAATTAGAAACTGATTATATTGAATTTCCTACTGGGATTTCTTCCTGTTTTTTATTAGCTACTGTCTGATTTCATTTGATTTTTAACACTGATGTTTAGAGAAGACTCTCCCTACCTAAGGTAATAGGAGTGGGGTAAAAAAAATAAATAAATAAAATAAAAATAAAAAGGAAAATAATTACTTTATGTTGGTTTAGGACCTATTACAAAACTAAAAAGTAATACTCAAACTGTTAAATGATAGCTTTCTATGAATAGCTTGCTTTGAATAATTGGATGCTGCCTTTTGTTTAGACTTTTCAAAATGGAAAGTCTTAGTTCTAAACAAAAAGTTTATCAGCTGAAGCTGATCCTTTAAAACATGCTACCACATGATACATGTCTTTCTCTGATAGACATTGGGGAGGGTATGTGCTATGGTGAGCGCTGTGAATTGTGTAAGACTGTTGAATCACAGATCTGTACCTCTGAAACAAATAATATAATATATGTTAAAAAAAAAAAAGAAGAAGATAGCAGGAGGGGAAGAATGAAGGGGGGTAAATTGGAGGGGGAGATAAACCATGAGAGACTATGGACTCTGAAAAACAAACTGAGGGTTCTAGAGGGGAGGGGGGTGGGGGGATGGGTTAGCCTGGTGATGGGTATTAAAGAGGGCACGCTCTGCATGGAGCTCTGGGTGTTATACACAAACAATGAATCATGGAACACTACATCCAAAACTAATGATGTAATGTATGGTGATTAACATAACAATAAAATTTAAAAAATACAAAGAAATAGAAAAAAATAAAATACAACAACAACAAAAAAAGAAACATGCTACCACATCGAATTGGTGCACTTGTATGTTCACCAGAAATTTGCACACAGACTTTGCACCTTCAAAAAATGTTGACAATGCCTATATAGCCAGAAGGCCCTGATTCAAGAAGAGAGGGAATTCTTTATTCCATGTGGGCAGAATACTTTTAACCCAAACAATTTTGGTTTCTGTCCCCACAAACATGGATTCTTGCTGTGGGATGTGAGACAGGAAGTCATCATCAGAGATCTGCTCCATTTAGGAACCAGAGTACATCAGTGAAAGATGGATTAACAACACAAATTTCAAAACCAAAGTATTTATATTGATATGTAGGATGGTCCTTAATTTAGAAAATCATGCTATTGTCGTCCCCCTCACTTCATATGACTCAGCATGACTGCTGGTCTAGAAGACACTGTGAGATAAAATTAACTCGACCCAGCTTCTAACATTAGTTTGTAGAGTCAGTCTTATTACTTACTCGGGAATTCCTTATCTACAGAATAGGGGCAGGGATAGATTTATAGTGAACTCATATAAAAATGAACATAATTAGAGAAAAAAACAAGATAGTGAACTGAATCAAAAAATAAGGTGGCAAAAACCGTAGCGTGTGAATTCATATGAGGTTATTAACAAGGATGGAGTGGCATTTACCTCACATAATAAACATTTATATTGCACTTATGTAGGGAGAAGGGCAGCACCATTGTTAAGTGCCATTATTGGCTTCATTTTACAGATGAAGAAACTGATTGGCAAGTGACTTGCCCAAAGTGGAAAAGCAAGGAATGAAAGCCAAGCAGTGTGGCTCCAAAGTCTAGACCCCTAAGCACCAGCGAACATGGCTTTCTGACTGCATTCCTAATTTTGTAAGGATGGGCGTGGCCTTGTCTAAAGGAACCTGACTGTTAGTTACAATGTATATGATTATCTTATCTGTAGTCTTACCTTAGATTTCATTCCTTACCATTTTTTTTTCCTGGAAAGATTAGAATTAAACAATCTTTCCAATAGAAAGAAAGGAAAAGAGTCCCATACAATCTTTCAGAGTTATAGGAACCACTGAGGAGAGAAAGAGAATAAAACAGGAAGGGTTGACAGACATAACATGGATGCTTACTTGGGAAAAAGCGCAGACCAACCAGAGATAAACCCAGGATCTCGGCTAAACCACAGCAGAGCCATTACAGCGAAGAGGACCAAGGTAACAATTTCCTGATACCTGTGGGAAAATTCCAATCCTTTTGTTTATCTTCTCAGTCAGGATATTTGTAGAAACTCCCTGAGCTATTGGCAGAGTACTTTTTTTTTCTTTTAAAGATTTTATTTATTTGACAGAGCACAAGCAGAAGGAGAGAGAGGGAGAAGCAGGCTCCCTGCCGAGCAAGGAGCCTGATACGGAACTCGATCCCAGGACCCTGGGATCATGACCCAGGCCGAAGGCAGCCGCTTAACCGACTGAGCCACCCAGGCGTCCCTAGGCAGAGTAATTTTAGCAGAACACTAAACACTGTAAAAACCAGATGATTATGTGTCAACAATTTGAGAGAATCTGCAGAGTTAGAAAAGGACATGACTCCTCTGTGGCTCTTTGGCTTCTTTTCATTCTATCTGGTAAATTTTAGTTAGACAAAAGTATGTATTTTGTCACATTAGTTATATTTACAATGGTTAGCATGTTCAAGGCTCTTATCAAGGGTTCTAAATACACCACAGACAATTAAGTGCATGTTTAGCTTTAAACAAGTACTTGCAGAATAAGCAGTGTGTATGTGTGTGAGGATGAGTGTATTTGCATGGATGCCTGTGTGCATGTGTGTGTCTTACCTCATTGGCCCAAGTTTTTGGTATTCTTGTTTAATCACCTCAGCACAAGCTTTTTGTTTGGCTGTTTTGGTCTTGCCACATGTGAACATCTCCTTAAAACTGAAAAGAATAATGGAGCCTGTTAAGCAAAGAATTCTCCCTTTATAGAAGAGATTTGTGTGAAAGCTTTATAAAATACTAATCTCCCTGCCAATAACAAATCTGTGTGTAATGCCTACACCTCCCCATCTCCTCCTTCAAATGTCCTCTCCCCTTCTTCCTGTTTGGCCTGGTTTGCTCAATTTTCAAGGCTTATTTTTGTTCTATATTTTTCACACATCTTCCCCTGATCTCTTCCTTTTCTAAGTCTGTTCACACCATTGGAATTTTGCCACGTGAGGCTCATCTCCAATTTAACGCTTTATTATATACCTGATTGTTATAAAGTTTCATTTCTTTATTGTCTATCTTGATAGTTAATTGCTGCACACGTGTAAGTTTTCCCTCGCTAGTTGGATACTGAATTATTGGAAGGCTGTGTCATTGATGTTTGCTCTGGCACAACTGAAATTTGTAACTCTCAACACCGCCATGGACAACAGATACGTGACTCAGCAACTCCACAGTACCTTGCTCAAATCTATGAGACGGCTGGTTGTCAGATCCACAGTTTGCACAGAATATACTGGACTCAAGCCATACGCTAGGGCAGAGAAGTCACGTACACTGCTCACGAGTGGAGTCTAAGCTGGATCTCTTCTCAGAACGAAAACCAACTCTATTACATTTTTTTTTCTTCAAGTTGCTCCATCCCTTATGCCCTAACAGAATCCACTAGATAGTTTTCCATCTATTGCCAATAGTAACTGCCAGTCTCTATTTCTTTTAGCTGCTGCTTTTAGTGACACCTTTCCCTTGTGACTAAATTTTCTTTCCTGAAGTCCAGGGTCTTCAAAACTTTTTTTTCCGAACTACTGCTCTAGGATTAGATTAAAAAAATCCCTCCAGGGGAATAAACAAATGAGCAAACGGCTCGATTCTTATGTTCTATCTCTTGGAATGTCTATAAGTAGCTCAGTTAGATTACATTGTGTGTGGGTAGGGAAGGCATTTCTGAGTGTATATCCTAAGGAATTGAAATCTGGATCTGAACTCACTCATTCACTGCGACATTATTCACAATAGCCAAGATATGGGACCAACTCAGGTGTCCATCGACAAACAAGTGGATAAAGAAAATGTGGTAGAGAAGGAAAAGAAAAGGCGGCATATACATACAATGGAATATTATTCAGCCTTAAAGAAGCAGGAAATCCTGCCATTTGTAACAATGCAGATGGACTTGGAGGACATATGCTAAGTGAAACAAGCCAGACACAGAAAAACAAATATTGTCTGATCTTACTTATATGTAGAGTCTAAAATAGTCAAACGCATGAAAGCAGAGAGTAAAACAGTTGTTTGCCAGGAAATGAAAGGAGATGGAAATGGGGATGTGTTAGTCAAAGGGTACAAAGTTTCAGTTATGAAAAATAAATAATTTCTGGAGATCTGCACAAAATAAGGCCTGTGATTAACAACACTATATTGTATACTTAAAAATTTACTCAGAGGCTGGTCCTATGATAAGTGTTTTTACCATAAAAAGAAAAAAAGAAAAAAAAAACTCAAAAAGCAAAAGGGGGCAAGAGGAAACTTTGGGAGGTGATGGAAAAGTTTATGGCCTTCACATTGATGATGGTTCGTGGGAGTATATGTATTTCCAAACACATAAAGTTGTATACATTAAATATCTATGGCTTTTGTATGCCAATCATACCTCAATAAAAGCAGTTTTAGAAAAGGAAAGAGTGCAGGATAATGTTGTCCTATAAAATCACTGGGCTAAACATGGATATATATGAGGGAGAAAATAGGAAGACTAAGGTGGTGTGAATGTAGCTATCACACAAAGACATTTTATTTACTTATTTTTTCTGTAGCTCTGCTACTCAGACTTGTTTAAACTATTGTTGCCTTTGAAGGAACAGAGTTTTCTCAATTAAGTCATCCATCCTACACATTCAAAATCATTTTCCTGTGCACACTCCAACCACTGAACATAATTAGATGGATGTTGTTATATTTAAGATCAATGAAGTAATATTTAATTTTTATAATCTCAGCTAAATTACTGACTAGTGCCAGTCTTGAAATTTTACCCCTTGTCACAATATAAATACTAGTATTATAAGAAACCGAGCCATGGACTACTTTGAGATCCTACTGTGGAATAGAAAAGTAGAATTAAAAAAAAGAGGTGAGTCTCAGGGTGCTTGATAGCTCAGTCAGTTAAGCATCTGACGCTTGGGTCATGGTCTCAGGATTATGAGATCGAGCCCCGCATTGGCTCTGTGCTGCTTGCGGAGCCTGCTGAAGATTCTCTCCCTCTCCCTCTGCACTTCCCCCAGCTCTCTCCCTCTTTCTAAAAACAAAAACAAAAACAAAAACAAAAACAAAAGCAGGTGAGTCTCCTTAAAAAATGTTTTCCACCTCGTAGACTGCACATGTACTTGGTCCCTTTGGTTGCGGATGATAAATAGGTTGAAAGCCATATTCGCTTTGCTACAAATGAAGGTTAATGCCTTCACAAAGGAACTGATGAAGCATATGACAATGCATCATCCTCTTCATTTAAATAAGTTCAGTGGCACTGATAGATGAGCTTCTCTTCCCAAGTATGTTGGGGTCATTTATAATGGGTGAGTTAACTGTGTTAACAGCCAACACACTAATCAGAATGTATGGCGGCCTGCCAGGGGAGTGGCTGATAATTTCTGTGTGTTGATCTAAAACCTCTGGAGGTGAAGACCCTGACTGACTGAAATGGACACTGAAAAATTAGCCAGAGCATGAAGCTGTGTAATGTCTGATAGCGGACAGCAACGGGACTATTTAAATATGCCACTGATCATGATTTATGGACTTTACCTAACATATGCACTTCGCAGGCTTTCTGATCTCATACAGAACACCTTTCACTACATCTGCCCTTTATTTTCTTAATTTCTCCTTTATACATGGTGGATCATTTCAAAATAATGACAATGGTTGCATACATTTTTTATAAAGTCATTATATGTGGTGACAAAGAAGGAAACCATTATGGGTCTGTGACCGGATGCTTCCTCCCTTAGTTGGGATTCCTGTCCTTTGCACCTTGCATTGCTACCTGTGCAACTGAATAGACCGCAAAGGCTTGGATTTCCAGGAAGGGGCATTTAGTACGCAGCTGGCCTCTCCCCACTGATGCCCACCTGCTGAAGTCAGTGACATTCCACACATTTGCTTCAGCAGGAGGACCATCACATGCTGCTCCCACAGTCTGGACAAATAGATCTTTTTAAAAAAATCATCAGTACCATCTTCCCACTACTAATAAAACTGTGGCGGTTCTGGAGGAAAACCAGGAAGAGGAACAGAGAGGAAAGAATACCAGTCAGCTTGGAAAATCTGGGCCCGGGCATGGAACACCACCTGATCCCAGTGCTTTGCTTTTCCAAGGAAGTACACATAGCTGACTTCAGTCTCACCAGCTTAGTAGATAACATGTTGTTTTTTTCATAGGTCCTTGAAATTATTTAAATAAAAGCCGATAAAGATGAATTTGAATTGTTTTGTTTTTTCAGGAACAGATTCTCAGGGTTTGATTTCTAGTCATTTCCCCTTTCTTTGTGGAGTACTGTTACATGTGTTGAATATATAAAGCTGCATTTTAGATTTTGCTGTGGAGCCCTTCATAATTTTAAGTGCTGGCTGTCATTTAAGTCATTTACGTAGCTCGTAGGCACTTATGAGGCACCTGCTTCAGTCCCAGCCAAGGTAAAATTTGCAAATTCTCCTTGAATACATATATTCGACATTTGTCACCTTGGACCCATATGTGCTAGAATTACAGCACTGTAAGTGATCTGACTGACTTTCCAGTTAAATTCCATCGTTTTACAGTTGAAAACACTGAGACTGAGAAAGACCACTCATTTTGTCCCTGGTCTTCTGATTCCTATTCCAACATTCTTTCCACAGGGCACGCTCTCAGGTCTTTATGTGATTTTTTCAAGGACATACCAATTTTGGTGGTAGGATGAAGCAGAAATCTTGCATGTTACAGTTTAAAGTAACTAGATAACCAGACGAAATCCCCACATACAAGCAAGAGGAGGGGCAAAACCTCTTGAAATTCCACTTTAACAAGCTGGACTGGGTCCTTCTTATTAATGAGTTCCTTATGCCCTTCTGGCCGATTAATAAATTATTAGCTTAGGACTCAAAGGAGAATGAGATGGATTTGCTTTTTATAAACTCTCCTTCACAGCCAACATTGTTTAGATGATATTCTAGCTTATCCTTAAAATACATGCTCATGTGTGGCAGTTTTCTGAGGAACAGAAGTGCCAAAACTCCATGTGCATGAAATGGGTGAAAGACCCCTGGGTGAGCAGCCGAGAAGTGGGAACCAAGACACTTTTATTTATCTGATTAACATGCAATATTTACTTACTTGAATCCTAGGAAAAGCCACTGAAGCCAGATCCAGGACAATAATAGAATAATAATAGCAGCCGGGAAGGAAAGCATAAACCATGATCCAAAGTTAATGCAGTGACAGTCAGGGTAGCGCCTGTGTGAAAAGACAGAAAAGTGTTCATGGGAGTGTACAAATGCCATCCTTTCAGATGGTCCTTGGGGAGAAGCAGCAGTTCAGGTCCTTCTCAGTCTCCCAGCTAAGAAAGACGATGTGGGACCTTCTCATTATTAAGTATAGCAGTTGGTTTTACCTCTTATCTTTCGTCCTGATTCTGTAACTGCATAATTTTTGCTACTTCCCATACAAGCAAGAGGGTATGTTATGATTTTTGTTCCCTTTGTTCAGTCTGTAAAGAAGTGCTTGGGAAAGCTAGCACAGTGCCCAACACTCACTGAATGCACCAGAAGTGGGAATGTATGGGTATGTGTGCCTTGTTAGCACTCAAGGCATCAGTATATGAGCAGGGTGAGCCAAGCGGATATGGGAGCAGATGAAAATGAACTTCACAGACCTGAATGTCTGTTACCATTTCACAATGGTAGCTGGCATCCCAGGCACTTGGGAAGGGACTCTGATCCATCCATATTGTCTCCTATGGCTGTTTTCCCTCTGTTTCCTCTGCCCTGAAGAAACTGTAACAGTCTTACCAGGCATATGCTAGCCTTTTCTTCTTAGAATTAGACATTGCTTTGGGGCTCAGTCAAATGGAATAAATCTGAACCAGATAAAAACAAAAGTTCTGTGGAAAACATGAGCTCTTCCTTTATTTCTCCTAGTTATTTTCAGTGTTGTAGCCCACATAATCACAAAACAATAACAAAAAAATGGGGGGTGGTCAGAGACAAGCACGGTTTCTTTGGTAACCTCACATTTATTTTTTCAAAATGTAGTATAAGTTTCGGGGCGCCTGGGTGGCTCAGTCAGTTAAGCATCTGACTTCGGCTTAGGTCATGATCCCAGGGTCCTGGGGGGATTGAGCCCCACGTTGGGCTCCCTGCTCCGCAGGAAGCCTGCTTCTCCCTCTCCCACTCCCCCTGCTTGTGTTCCCTCTCTCGCTGTGTCTTTCTCTGTCAAATAAATAAATAAAATCTTTAAAACAAAACAAAAACCGAAATGTAGTATAAATTTCAAATAAATTCTCATACAGTTATCTATTTTATGACAGAAGAGGGGAAAACAGAAAATTTGAGAAACAATTGTCCTTGATTTTTTTCTTGACACAATGACACAAAGATGTAGCTGGAACTTTGGAAAGTACAGAAATTAAACAGAAGCAATAAAAACACCATTAACATATTTTAATTACCTTTGAAATTACAAAATATAAAGCAATTTATAGAAATGATAGCTTTTTAAATTCTTGTTATAGTTGAATCATACTTTGTATTTTTCCATTTAAAAAAAGTCATGTAAATAAACGAAATGTCTTATGCTACATGCATCAACATAAGCTATATTTTTGTACTTTATAAATTATTTCTTCTTCTATTTTAGGATGGTTGCTAAGTAATGCAAAAACTTAAAAAAAATAAGGGGCTTTTAAAACTCTAGATTTCTAATGTTTTCTACAATTTCCTTGAGGTTATAAGAAGTTGTTGTGGATACTAGAGTTATCATTAGCAAGTTGAGGATGATTATTAGCTACCACAAAAAGATCCAAAGCTTAGCTTACATATTATGCAATTAGAAATGACAAATGATGAATAAGACGTGCTCGGGAATACAGAGAATTGATGAGTGGAAAAATGCTTTATCATGTCCATGAGCTTCTATTAAGAATTGCTCACTTAAAAAAAATGTTTGTTGTCTTCAGTTGGAAAATGTAATAAGGAGGAAATGCTTAAGCTTATTTCCCATCATTTTATTGACTTGAATTACAGGTTGATGCCCTGCGTTACTCTGTTCAGCCTAAAGGCATTTAGAAATGTTACTAAAGGCAGGGTCCAAACAGTACACTAAACCCAATTTCATTTTTCACCATCTATGGCTTATACCTTGAAATCAGGCTGTGCTGTTCTCCCCACCCAATCCTGTAAAATTTGTTTAACTGAAGAGGGGTTTCTTAGAATTTTTGCCTGGAGGGATAGTTCATTTAGAAAAATGAAAGCCTGAAAAAGCTAAATTCTGTTTTGTTTTTGTTTCTTTCATTAGTAAGGAAGTGAACACACAGGACAGTGGCCTCCATGATCATAACCTTTATACTTAGATCTGCAGTGCCTATTTCAAATGATAATGGAATGAATGGCATACTGTGAGGTATTAGTTTCACTGTTTTTTTTTCCCCCCACTTCCTCATACACTGTATAAGTGAAGTTATTGCAAGTATCTGCCTAAAGTAAATATAGAATTCTTCCATCAGGAACTATGTTGAATCCAATTAATTCTGATAGAATCTTTTCTTTCACCCAACAGTATATTTTTGCTTGTCTACCATGTATCAGGCACTCTTCTGGATATTGGAGATACAGTGGTGAATTAGATGGATGTAGTCCAGGTTCTCATAAAGTTTACATTTAAATGAGGAGCACAGGCAGTAAATAGGTAAGCATAACAAGAATCAGAAAATATAACCAAATAACATAATAGAAAGTTCCTAGGGGGGAGAAATTTTACATAGTGTGGTTAAAGAGGGTAATATTTGAAATGAGATCTAAATGGCAAGGAAGAGCCAGTCATGGAAATAACTGGGAAACAGCATTCCAGACAGAGGAAATAGCAAGTACAAAGGCCCTGGGGTAGGAATAAGTGTAGCATGTTTGAGGATCAGAAGGCCAGTGTGGTTGTGGATGGTGAGCTAAAGTTAGTGACATGAAATAAAGTTTAAGACGTAGCCAGTAGGGGTCAGATAATATAAAAACTTGTAGGCCATCAGAAGGAATTTGAATTTTAGTACAAATGCAATTAGGAGTAATTGGAACATAGGAAATAGGTTAGTGACATGATCTAATTTAAAGTCTATGTAAATTTGTGATTTACATAAGACATACTGGTTAGATGGATCCTTGGGATTGAAGGCAACAAGAGTGGAAGCCAAGGGGTGATAGGCAGAATTCCAAGATGACCCCCTAGATTTCTGCCCCTGGTATACATTTCTTGTATAATCCTCTCTCCTTCTGTGTGGGTAGAATTTGTGAATATGGCGAGATTTCATTCCTGTGACTAGGTTCTTTTATGGAAAAAGTGAAGGGATTTTGCAGTGGTAACCAAGGTCCCCATTAATAGACTTTGAGTTACTCAAAAGGGCGACTTGGGTGGGTCTGACCTAATCAGGTGAACCCTTAAGAGGCAGCCTTTCCTGCTGGCCTAAAGAAGTGAGCTTTCATGTAGCCAGAGGAAGGGGCAACGTGGCAAGGATCTAGGCATAGCCTCTAGAAGCTGAGGGTGACCCCCCGCCAAATAAATAAGCAATAAAACAGGCACCTTGGTAATTCAAACACAGGGAACTGAATTCAACAACCTGAATGATCTTGGAATAGGGCACTGACTGTGGAAATTCGAGGCCCAGCTGCCACCTTGATTTCAGCCTGGTGAGATCCTAAACAAGGGACTCAGATAACCTGGGCCTAGAAATCCTGACCCTCAGAAATTATGAGGTCATAAATTCATGCTGTTTTAAGCCACTAAGTTAATGGTAATTTGTAAAATAGTAATATAAAACAAACACACAAGAAGATTTATTAGAAGACAAAAGAAGTTTGGCAGAGGAATATGGTAGAATAGAGTAGGAAGTAGAGTAGATTTTAGCTGAAGTCAGACTGGTAGCAGTAAAGATGAAGAGAAGGCCATTGATTTTAAATCTTTTTGGGACAAAATGTGGAGAAATGGGGAACAAGTGCTGTTTATTGAAATGAAGTCAGAGGGAAGAACAGGTTGGCAGACCGGTAGGGGAGTGGTGGGTCAAAAACACTGCAAGGGGCGTGTTAATTTGAGATGTCCCTTAGGTTTCCAAGTGGTCACATTGGACGGGCAGTTAGATAAGTGAGTTTGGAACTGAGAGCAGAGGGCAGGTTAGAGACATAAAATAGGTAGTTACCAATATTTGGTGATATAAACCACAGAAATGGGTGTGAAATTTTCAGGAGAAAACGGAGGTAAGAGGAACAGGGAGTGCACCCTGGGGCACCCAAGTTTTAGAGGTCAGGCAGAGGTTTAGGAATGAGCAGATGAGCTAAGCACATTTAAATGCTAACACAAATCCTGTGAGGAAAGCATTATATTTCCATTTTACACAGGAAGACACTAAGTTTCAGAAGGTTAAATGGATTGTTCAAGGTCACAGATTGTACAGTCAAGCAGAATTTTTACCCCAGAAGGAGTGTTTAAAATACGTCTTTTCATTAAAGCCCAGTGCCCTCAACTCTGGTCCCCAAGTGAAAATACAAAGTTCAATGTATATTGCAAAATATCCATAAGCCAGGGTACAAACTTGATGTCGCAAGGACATTTTAGAACACTACAGAAATGATTTTGCCGTGACAGAGACATGCTTTGACCTGAAGCACGTGTGCCCGTCATTACTGAAGCTCAGGAAGATAGTCTTGTTACAGTTCTTATGCCCAATCCCAGAATGATGATAGCATTGATACTAAGGAAAACACAGAAGTCACCTTAAAAGAGTGGATGTAGTTGTGGAAATTTACAGCCTTGAAACCAATTTTGGCCCTTAGAGCACTATAAGCTGTGTCCACACGGATTATAGCCCTCTTGATTAATGACTGCTTTGATTATTTCTGAGTCAAAGCCACTTTTCAGTTTTGTATTTGTGTATTTGCAGACATTTCTTTTCAAATATTAACTACTTGTTATTCATGAGCCAAGCTGATATTTCTAATAGCAATAGCAAAACTAGAATCAGCAGCAAAAATAGCTAGCATTACTGGCAAATTTCCTATGTGCCAGGCCCTCTTGCTAAGAGCCACGCGTGCATTATCCCATTTAATCTTCACAATAATACGTTCTAGTGTTGCCCCATTTGGTAGATGAAGGAACTGATCACAGAAGTTAAGGTAATATATGGCAGGACTGAAATTTAAGCCAATCTCTGAGTCCAAACTCAGCAGTACCCAAATTTCTTCTATAGTATTTGCCAGAGA